ATCCCGCAAGTCTATCCAGAAGGATACCATGGTCGATGGTATCGAAAGCCGCTGAGAGGTCCAGAAGAACCAACAGGGATGTACTCCCCCTGTCCTTCTCCCTGCACAGGTCGTCGTACAGGGCGACCAAGGCAGATTCAGTACTGTACCCAGGTCTGAAGCCGGACTGAAAAGGATCCAGATAATCAGTTTCCTCCAAGAGTGCTTGGAGTTGTCCCGCCACCACTCGCTCCAGCACCTTGCCCAGAAACGGGATGTTGGCCACAGGTCTATAGTTAGTGGCCATCTCTGGATCCAGTGACGCTTTCTTCAGGACCGGTCGTATTACCGCCTCCTTTAAAGGGGCAGGCACTCGACCCTCCCTCAGAGAAGCGTTAACCACTTCCAAAATCCAGGTCCCAATCCCGTGCTTGGAGTTATTTATTAACCAAGACGGGCAAGGATCCAATAGGCAAGTGGTGGGACGTACTCTTCCAAGCACCTTGTCCACCTCATTGGGCCGCAATAATTGAAATTCCTCCAGTAATTTTGGACCAGACGGTGGCATTGGCGACTCCTCAGAGACCTCTGATTCATTAGTGGAGTCCAGCTCGTGACGAATCTGAGCGATTTTCTCCCTGAAATGCCTGGCAAAGTCATCACAGCGGGCCTTTGAGGGTGGCATCGGATCTTCCTTAGGACCCAGGCGAACCAGGCCTTGCACCACTCGAAAAAGCTCCACTGGACGGCATTGTGAGGAGGCAATGGAAGCAGAAAAAAACTTCTTTTTCGCCGCCTTCACCGCCACAGCATAGGCCCGATAGTGGGCTCTCAAGTGTGTTCGGTCAGATTCATCCCGTGATTTCCTCCACCTACGCTCTAGCCGTCTCCCAACTCGCTTCATCGCCCGTAATTCAGGTGTATACCAAGGGGAAGAGCGGACTCTGAAAGAGCCTGTTGATTCTAAGTGAGTAATTATAATTAGCAGGCCTGCTCTTCAGAACATAGTAAGGTAGCCTTGAACTGTATTTTTGTTTAATATCCTTTAATTGAAAATACAAGTCCCTATGAGACAATGTACTATTTACATATTCAGGCTTGAAGATGTGTTTCAGTGCTCCTTTATGTTCGTATTTGGTATACGAAGAAGACAGGTAGCGATTGGTGTACTGGTGTGTGTGACTGATTTAACTGAGATCAATTTTATGAAAACACTGTCATGACTTTTATCAAAAACTAGATAATATTTCCTTTTTTCTAATTACATTTCTACCATATGCACATCCAGATGGCTTCTACTTATAGAGTGTTATAAAATGACCTTTCTTTAGAGGATTTATTCACTGAAGAAGCTTATGGACAAATAGAATCAACACTTTGTTAGGGGGAAAAGAAAGATCAAACTTTCCCTGGCTCCTGACACACACACACACACACACACACACACACACACACACACCCCAGTGACTTTATAGGAAAAGTTCTCCTGTTGCTTGATGTGGCTGTGGAATTTTCGTCCATAGAAAATGTATAGAAAATACATTTTCTATTTACAAATGTATTTATTACAGGAATGGAAACGGAGAGGCCAGGGCATGATCTGAAGGCATGTGTTTCCATGAGCTTGTTGAATGCAGACTGGTCTAGGTGGGAAACCATCTGGGAATTCCATACATACAAGCTTGTGTTCCTTGCTGAAAAGGCAGAGTATACTGTTTTTGAGATAATTAAAAAGAGAAGTGGTTGAAAGAAAATATCTGAATTTTAGAAATTAAAGTCTTTCGGAACTAATTGAACTTACAGAATTTAAAGTATTCATAAAGGGTTCCTTAATCAGATTGACTTTTATTGTTCTGCTTTATATTCAGAAAGCCTTTCCTTTGAATGGACCCACTAAACTGTCAACTACCCACTTTGCTGTTTCATCTATGCAATGTTAGGCACATGGTACATGTGGTCCTCCAGCTTCCCAATCTTTTAGTTATAGCCATTTAGCAAGAAGTGCTAAGCTGATTTTGGAAAGGGATAGAAACACTATTTACATGGTAAGAACTTAATTTGTGTATCATTCAGGCTGTAGCCCTAGGTATACTTATTGGGAACTAAACCTAACTGAATACAGTGGCACTTGCTTCGGTGTAATGAATTTATTTAATAGCAAGTGCACTTGTGTGGCTCCCACACATTCGGTGGAGTAGGAACAGAATAACCTCTTAACAGATTCTATCTCAAATTGCTATATGCTTAGATACATAGTTAGAATTTATATATTGCCTCTCCACTGAAAATCTCACTCAGGGTCATTTATAATAAAAATAATAACCGATATTATTATTTGGTTGACTATGAAAACTAATGATGCTTCCAATGGTTTCGAGTGGATTCAAGTCTTTTCTGTAGTTGCTCCAAGCATATGCTTTAAGTAGGCACTGAGTACTGTCTTCTCCTGCTGTTTTGTAATGCAATTTTCTCACTTCATTGTAATGAATGCTTCAGCTTTCTTTTGTTGCTGTTATGAGGTATGTGCCTGATTCTTACAGCTGAATTCCACATTTCACCTTGTCTACCCAGTGGGTGAAGGCGCAATTTATAAATATGCCAAATAAAATAGTACAGTTTGATGATTTTTGCAACTGAAGACACAAATCTAAACCCAACGGGGAAGACACATTTGAGGGAAATTGTACTAATGTGCCGGTTAAACTCCTTATCATTTACTTGAGTAGACAATTTATATCACCAGGCTTTAAAAGACAGCAAATGAAAATATTTTCTGTTTGATAAACTCTCTCTCTCCCTCTCTCCCTCTCCCTCTCTCTCTCAATGAGAGCGTGTAGAGAGGTTGGGTGCTCAACTAGCTTGTTCGCTTGCTCCGTCCACATTTCCTTGGGCATTATCTCTCTTGGAGACATGGCATGCTAGTGGTGGGTGGAACCCCCTTCATGCTCCCTCCTTTTTTCCCACCACCTTTTCTCTTTCCCTCTTTCTTCCCACCCAGCAAACAGCCATGGGAAGGGCAGATCAGTTTTGCCAGAGGTCTGAACCGATCCTTTGCAGAGGGCATTTGAAATTGAGCCAAGGACAGCAGGCAATTTGGCTGAGGAATGCATGCAGCTGTAAAGATGAAATTATAAAACTAAATATCAAACTCTACTAGGAGGCCAAAAACTATTAAATCAGCCTAATGTCTGCTAAATTGATTATGATGATGGCAGTGATCATGATGAAGCAATAATTTTGCAGCCCTTACAGAAAACAGTCCAAGATATCAGGGTCCAGTTCATATCTAAAGGGCACCACACTGCTTGTCACAGTCAACGTCCTGTTGTCCCTTAGATAGGCCATGTGAAGCAAGGACTGATTGCTTGACTACAACTGGCGCATGGACTGAAATAGGGTATTCTGCTGTATTGGTCACAGGCTCTGAAGGGGTTTTTTTTTAGATCAAAACCAGCACCCTGGCCTGGACCCAGAAGCACACCAGTACCAATAAATTGTCCCAATATTGGCTGGATACAGACACATATCCCCATGTCTGTTTTTGAAAAGGCAATATTTTGCACCAGCTGTAGGTACAAATTTTGTCTTTTATATCTGCTGCATTAGGTTCCAGATCCAGGCAAGGATTCTGCCTGAATCCCCAGCGAGCCATTGCGATCAGTCATGTCAAAGTTACTGGGCTAGATGGACTGATAGTCTGAATCAATTACAATAAAATTAATAATCATTTGAAATGCATTATTAAAATCCATTATTAAAATATTTAAAAGGATGGAGAAGAGATGTTTTCTTGTGGTGCCAAAATGAAATCAGAGTTGGTGCCAGGCAAACTTCTTTATGGAGCCTGTTTCACAGGTGGGGAGCAGCCACTCAAAAGGCCCTTCTTCTGTTTTCCACCCCTCCCACCTCCTTAATGGATGGCTTATTCAGAAGGGCTTCTTGCTCATATCTTAATGGATGGGTAGGCATGCATGGAGAAAGACAGTACTTCTGGTAGGCCAGTCCTAATCCAATTAGGGCGTTATATGTTAAAACAAGCACTTTTCATTAGGCCCAGGTTTCAACTGGTAACCAATGTAGTTACCTCATCTATAGCACCTAGCAGACACAGAAAAGGAACTCTCCTCTTACTCAGAGAAAAAATACTGAAGGCCATCAAGAAGCTGTCAAGCCTCCATTCCAACCATTAGGATAAGCTCATTTTTCCCAAAGGTCACATGTGCAGAGAAAAATGGTATAAATACCAGGGTGTGAGAAAGAACTCTCCTTTTCTCCCCTGCCAAAGTTCTGGACACACACGCTGTGCTGTTGCAGGACTCATAATGGAGCCGTCCCCTCTTCTTGGTAGTTACTGTAGGTTAGGTGGGAAGTCTTTCTTTCTTTAGAAATACAGAGGAAGATTGGGATGCAATGGGAATATTTGCTGTTTGGACCACATGAGGTTTAAGCTTGTGTCCACTTTATATTTTTCTGAATACACTGTCCTTTTCCTTTCTAAGTGCTGTGTGTGTTGGTATGGATGCGAAACCAGGGCTTGTTCTCTCTGACTGTGTATTAAACTCCAGAAAAAGATCCCAAACCTTTTGAGGCAATCTGCAGGGCAAGTGCCGCCTTTTGAGGTGTACTGCTTTGCAAGATTTCCTGGTGTAGCAACCTTGCCTAAAGGTCTAGTTGTCAGGTAAAAAGTGTTTGTGCAGATGTATTTACCTTTAATTGCACTATAACCTTACTAACACCACAGTATAAATGATATCAATATTGCACATTAACTGGACTTACCTTTACTGCATAAAGGGTAAACTGACACTTCGCTTGCCAAACATGCGTGTTTTACTGGTTTCCTAACAAGTAATTATCATGTTTAATGTAGATGAGAGCATTCTAAAACATCAGATGGTGAATTTCAGATTATTTTTGAAACCACATCTTTTCTGAGTTTACCACTGTGTCACTCTGTAGACAATATAGATTAGCTTTAACAGATAAAGCAAGCTCGTGCTTTTAATGTTTTTTCTTCGTAGTCACATAACGCAATCTGCCACTTTTGATGACCCGCGATTAGACAGCTGCCAAATCACACCTCCAGCCCCTCGGAAAGTGGAAATGAGGAGAGATCCAGTCCTGGGATTTGGTTTTGTGGCTGGCAGTGAAAAACCTGTGGTGGTACGCTCTGTAACACCAGGTATTGTTCTTTCTATGTTTGAGTTATAGCTTTACAGTCTAACAGGAGATTAAAGTGATCCTGGCTTGTAACAGAGGGCATTAGCTTTGTATGTATTACTGTCATTCCCAGACTTTTACTTGTTACCATAAATACTGATAATGTAAAGCCATAAATAAGCTTACTGATGTCATGTCTAGTCTATCTTCAAGGGGGCTGACTCTTTACTTCCTTCTAAGAGAATTAACAAGCAACCAGTTTCTGTAGGTGAGAGGTGAGCAAATTTTGTTGTTGTTGTTGTTAGTCGTGAAGTCGTGTCGGACCCATCGCGACCCCATGGACAACACTCCTCCAGGCCTTCCTGTCCTCCACCATCTTCCAGAGTCCACTGAAGCGCACACCAACTGCTTCAGTGACTCCATCCAGCCACCTCATCCTCTGCTGTCCCCTTCTTCTTTTGCCATCAATTGTTCCCAGCATTAGGCTCTTCTCCAGGGAGTCCTTCCTTCTCCTTAGGTGGCCAAAGTATTTGAGTTTCATCTTCACTATCTGGCCTTCTAAAGAGCAGTCAGGGTCGATCTCCTCTAGGACTGACCGGTTTGATCGCCTTGCAGTTCAAGAGACTTGGAGGAGTCTTCTCCAGCACCACAATTCAAAGGCATCAATCCTTTTGTGCTCAGCCTTCCTTATGGTCCAGCTTTCACAGCCATACATTGCCACTGGGAAAACCGTAGCCTTGACTATACACACTTTTGTGGGCAGGGTGATGTCTCTGCTTTTTGGTATGCTGTCTAGATTTGCCATAGCTTTCCTCCCCAGGAGCAAGCGTCTTTTAATTTCTTGGCTGCACTCCCCATCTGCGGTGATCTTGGAGCCCAGGAAAATAAAATCTGTCACTATCACCATTTGTTCCCCATCTATTTGCCAGGAAGTAAGAGGATCGGATGCCATGATGTTAGTTTTCTTAATGTTGAGTTTCAAGCCAACTTTTGTGCTTTCCTCCTTCACCCGCATCAAGAGGCTCTTTAGTTCCTCTTCACTTTCTGCCATTAGACTGGTATCATCTGCATATCTGAGGCTGTTGATATTTCTCCCAGCAATCTTAATTCCAACTGGTGATTCATCTAGCCCCACCTTTCTCATGATGTGCTCTGCATATAAGTTAAATAGGC